ATATATATATATATATAGGCAAGGGGATGAGATTATATATACATATATATAATCTCTCTCTTCTTGAATTCTTGGCAAATGGTTAGTCCTGTGGTTAGGAGTGAAGACAGAGGGTAGAGTTGGAAAGGAAGTTAACGAAGAGTGCATACCGCTTTCGGCTTCTGCAAAACGACAAGAAAAGAATTTAAAATCAAACAATTTGATAATAAATTGACTGACACCAAAAGGAAAGAAGGAATAAAACCTTTGTTTCAAGTCTTTTAAAGGATGCATGTGAAAACAAGGTTTTTCCGCAAAGCATGAAAACGTTATCATGGGGTGAAACCAACAACAAAGGAGGTAGTTAAACACAGGTTGAAGGCAAGAGGGTGGGAAGGAGAAGTAGGTGCCTCTGAAATTTAACACCTAGTCAGTTATAAAATGTGAGTGGAGAAGAAATGGGAACTTAGTAAGTGCAGAAAAAAACATTAACATTGTTTTCTCAGAAAAGTTCAAAAAGTTATTTATTTTTAGTAAGTATTATATCTGATAAATCCTGCATTTTCTCAGGGGCATGATCCACATTCCCTCAAATACACCTTTTTCCACAAGAACCAATGTGCTTCCACACTGAGACCAAGCCACATTTGAGAATTAAAGCTGGCAATTGCACACAGAAAGCTAAAAGAAAGCCCAACAATTTCTTTCCCTCTTTTTTTCTAAGAAAAGAAAAATCTGAAAACTGTATCTACAAATATGGCTTTGTTGAAAACATCTCAGATTTGTGAATCGGTGATAAAGCTCATCACAGAAAAGATGTTGTCTACAGACAGTGTAGTGAGTTTGTTTTCTTAGAACAGTGACAGTGGACCCATGCTGAGCCATTAACTGTATTTCCCTCTCTTTCCCTGTGACAAAAAGGTGGCAAAGGGGAGACCACTGGTCAGGGTTTTGGTGCAGATACTTGCCACAAAATTACCCCACAATGGGTCACCTACTATTTAGCATTAGTGTCACCTACCTCACAAAACAAAGTCTCTTTAGAGATGTGCAAAAGTGATAGAGAAGACAGTTTACACAAGGATTTACTGATTTGGCAACACAAAGAATATCATCTGCAAAAATCCAAATTACAAAGTTCCCCACCCAGACACAGGTGAGGAATGGCAAAAAAAAAAGGTAAATAAACTGTAACCCTAGAGAAGTCCCCCCTTATCGGTTGAACAGCAAATAGCCAGGACTCTCTCAGCTTTTTGCAAACAATATTCTTCACTTTGTTCACATGGAAAAGGAAAATGTATACTTATATACCTATTTGTTAACTGCTATGGCTATGGTCTACACGTGGCCACCGAATCTACCATTGCACCATCCTTTTGGTTGATTGGGATTTCAAAGCAGCTTAGCATTTGATCAGATTGACTTTGTGTGCAATCTGATCTGGTGGGCAAGGTAAGAGCAAACACTGGATTGACTTGGTCACAATCCAGTGTTTTGGGTGGGTTGGTTGGTTGGTTGGTTTTGTTGTCATAGACACAAGCTGTCCAACTGGAAGTCTGTCTTTATCGGCTCATTCACCCAGATAATGAAAACTCCTTAAATGGTGATAGCAGGAAACTTCTTGCCCTGTATTCTGCTCAGCTAAGAAGGTGGGTGTCAGGGGTTGTCTGAACTCTAAGCGCATTGATCTGCGGGAACAAATGATATTCTAGGGAAGGAATAGACTGCACGTATCATTTCCAAAAACAAAAGCTGGAGTGTGTCTCAAATAGCTCTCTTTCTTCCCAAGCTATTGATAAAAACTGGGGAGCAAAGAATCATCTCTGTTTTATCTATAACATACACAGTTCTCCATCAAAAACAGTCCCCCTTAACACTTCTTTCAGTGGTGAACCCTCATATTGACTGGGGAATTATCTATTTCAACCAGACTCCCTCGCTCATCAGTCTGATGTGCACATAATTAGGAACAAAATAAATAAATAAAGAGAGCTCCTGCCTGTGAGTTTGGCTCTCCTGGCTAATTTACATGAATCTGAGATTCTGCCACCTGGATTTCGGCGGCACCAGGAGAAGCACATATGGTGCACAATAGGCTGCTTGTAATTTGGCTATCAAGAGAGCTGGTATCTCCCACCATGGCTCTACAGCAGGCCCAATGTAAAGGAGGCCAGAGCCCACCTGCTTTTTGCTTGCAGCAGTACAAAGGGGTTGCAAGACAGGGTCTGTTATAGGTTCAGTACTTAGAGTACAAAAAGCTCAGGTTAGCACGAAAGGGTAGAGATACTTGAGCAGCCAATTCCTCTTCTCTGGGGAATCTTCTCTGAATGCCCAGTGGGGATTGAGATTTCAGGCTGTTCTGGGACAGAGGCTGCCATGTCTGGTTGAGCATGCCTTAAAATGTACCCTAGGGTCAGAGAGATGTTGCACCCAGTTCCAAGCAAATAAATCATGTGCAAAACAGGGAAAGCGGACTGAATATTTCCACAATGCACTTTCCCATCATAAATGTCAACAGGCCACTGAGTCACAGCAAACTTACTTACCGGCTCTCTCGGTTGGCGGACTTGTACTCAATGGCTATCATTAGGAGCTTGAGCTTCACAAAACACAGCCTGCAAATGAGATGGAGAAGCCTCCCAGTCAGTGCTTCTGGTCGAACAGTCACATAATGAACACTGTTACAACCTTTCGGTCTCCTGCCGAGGGAATCTTCATTCTACCAACCCCGTGCCAAGGGGTGTGAGGGGGGCACCTCCCAGTCTTCCCCATTAAATCTGCTTTCTCACAAATGACAAGGTGCTGGATGTTCAGAGTGTAAATTGCACTAAGGTCTGAATGTCTAGACACAGACCCCAAGCAGGGATTTGTGCCTAGGGATTTACACGGGGCCAGATTCATTAGTTACTCAGTCAGGTAGTAAAACGTTAACTACAGGGGGAGGGAGAGATTTGGAGCAGCTGGACCTGTTATTTGGATTCCATTTCTGTCTTTGGTACAAACAGCTCATGTTGTTGTTCAGAGCAGACCCCCGTGTGCTTGGAATGGTGGTAATAATTAGACTCTGTGTAAGTGCCCAGCACATGACTATGACTTTGTCACTCCTGGCTCCATCCAAACTATCTCTCCTCATCTGCCTGATGCTCTCCACTGCGGGTCAGACTGTTTGGAGGCCAGCTTGCTCCTGTCTCCCTGCCATCATTATGCCCAGCCCCCACCCACACGGCCTTCTCTCCTCCTGACCATCCTCCCTGGCCATGTCACGTCTTCCAAGCAGTAGGTCTGCTCCAGCTCCTGCTACTCTCTGATTCTTATTCTCATACCTCCTCCAAGACCTGGCCTGGAGCCGCATCATTTAGCCCTCAGCCAACTTCACCTTGGCTATGGTTGCTTCTTATTGTTTCTCGTTTCCTGTGTCTGTCTTTTCCCCTCTTCAAGGAGAACAACTGCTTTAAGAGTTTTAGACTTGTTTGAATTCCCAAAGTATATAGTGAATGAATCCATCCATACAGAGAAGCTCAATTAACAAATGATTTCTACTTACTAGGATTCAATTCCAAGAAAAGAACAAGTACAGTAAAATACTTATGCATAAAGATGTTCAAGGTAGTGTTATTTATAAAGAGTATAAAAATCTAAAGCAACCTGGTAAATTGGTAATATGGTAAAAAAGCAATGGTAATATGGTATTAGCATTCAAAGTGATTTTTTGCAGAATATTTCAAGATATAAATAACAAATATAACAAGATACAAACATGTAAATATCATGATACAATATAATAAAACATATATTTATATATTGGTAGAAATAAAAGCTCACACAAAAAGGAATCATGTACATCATATGTTATAAGTTCTTTTAGCGAACTTATATCTTAAGGACTATTTGGATAATGAAACATTGCTTAACTGATACATTGAAAAATGAACATGTGGTTATTTAGTTCCAGCACTGAAAGGGCAATAAGATACTGCATGAAAGGGCACTATCTTCCTTGATGGCCCCACTTGTTTCTCAAGACCTCCCTATGAGAGAGAGAGAGAGAGAGAGAGAGAGAGCGAGAGAGAGCGCACTCCAGTTTTTCAGACTTCTATTGAGAGCTCTGTTGTACAGGCAGTAAAACTAAGGCTTAGAAAACCCAAATAATTTGACCAATAGTTAGATATTAGGTTTGTAGCCAGTGTCTGGCAGGATATACAACATCTTTGTCCCCAACAAAGCCTGTTTTGCATTGGGAGAGATAGAGAATCTGCAAATATACAACTGAGTAAATAACACATTCCCAAATAATGATAAATGATATGCGTAAAATAAAACAACTGGAGAAGATAAAGAGCAATAGGAAAAGGAATGTGTCACCTATGACAGTCCAGGAGGACCATTCAAAGGATGCAGAGGGTACTAGAGCATGACGAGAAAGGAATGAGAAGATATAGAGAAAGAGTCTAGGGCAGTGGTGGTGAACCTATAGCCCACATGCAGCAGAAAAAGGTTTACCATTCATTACTGGTCTATGGAGTAGAAACAGTAAATGCAAAGGGCCTGAGGCAGGAAAATGCTCCAGGTATTTGAGAAGGAGCAATGAAACCAGCAAGGGTGGAGCTGAGAGAGCAAAGTTGAGAGTGATAGTGGGTAGGTCCAAGAGCAAGACGGGGGCCAAAATCATGAGGATTTTTCTTACCATAGCGAGGAGTCTACAGCTTATTCCAAGCGAATGGAATGGCTTGGTCTTTGGCTGCTCTTAAATGGAGAAGCCACAGAACCAGAGAGGCTCTACTTGGAGATATACTGCTAGCAAAGGAGGTACTGGTGAAGGCCTGGTGCTTTCCAGAGGGAAATGAGACCAATTGCTCATTACTATGTGTGAGATCCTGATTCCCAGGCACTGCCTTTAACAGTCAGATTTCAAAGGACCACATCTGTGCAGGCATGTCTCTACTTTCCCAGTGACCTGCAGGTTTCCTGACTTCTGCCAGCAGACTCTAATGACCTGGGCTTTGGGCTGATTATGCAGCTTGTTGAAACACCAACACACATATCCAACCACAGCAGGGAAAATGCCCTTCTTAATTTATGCCCCATAGCATTCCATTAACATGCACCCTTTATGGGGCTGTTACTTCTGGAACCTAAATTGTTTAAAGCATCAGATAGCTTATGCCGTGTTTATTGAACCAAATCACCAGATTAAGTAGCCACTACCTAATGTAAATAGTAGTCAAGTGCCAAAAAAAAATCAAGTAGAAAGTTGATGTTAACTTAGCATGGATCATGAGGTCAATTTGCTGATATCCTATGAGTAACAACCATTTTAGTTTGGAACCCTCATAGCTCATGAGATCAAAGATCTTAACTGCTTTCTTGAACCTAAGAAAGGGGGAAAGTAGCCCACAGTAATGGTGAGTTATTTCTTCCATGTTACTACAATACCAATTACCCACTGAATAGAATAAAAAAGAAAAAAAAAGAGCCTCTTAATGCAGGAAAGTCAATAAAATCTATACAGTTTTGTATATATTCCTTAACCTTGTAAAGGATGGACCAGTAAATCTCTTCATCTTCTACCAGTTTTTAAACCCATAATTTACGAACTTTAAAATCCTTACCTAAAAGGACTCTACACTGCTTTATAGAGGCCTTTTTTTTTAAGGAACTCTTCGATGCAAAATAACCTGTTGCTCACTGGCCTAAGGAGGGATAGGAGAGGGACAGTGATGGAACAGTGAATATAAGCAAATGGGGCCATTCTAGAGATTCCCAGACTCTGGTCCTTCCAAATCAGCTCATCCTGCCCTTCTTTGTTTTTTTAATTCATCAAGTTTATGGGTACATTTTAGGTATACAATATGATGACATCCATCATCGGGAATTTGTACCTTTACATGTTACATCTTGGTTCTCATTTTTTCTCCATTCCCCTGCCCTCCCTTCAACCCCACCACCCCTCCCTATTTACAAAGACTTTGTTTCCATTTTTTCCTTTTCTCATATTTATTCCCTTCCCTTCTTCCCTTTCTCCTACCCTCCCACTCCCCCCCCCTTTTCCTTCCCCTTTGGACCTTTTCTTCCTACTTCACTTTATCTATTATACATTTTGATCCTCATTTACACTTTCAGTTTCTCACACCAGGGAAACTGTTTGGTATTTTTATATGTAAGACAAGCTGAAGTCCAAAGAGGGCAAAGCAACTGGCTCAAAATCAGTTGTCTTTTACATACAAAAGCCGAAAGAGGACATCAAGTCCCAGTGCAGTGTACTCCACAGATATGTCTCATAAGAACAGAAAAAATGGAATGGTGGTCCCGACCACATGGTGCATGCAAACATGTTTTTTTAATTAGCATAGTTGCTTTTTCACAACTAGAAATAGATACCAACTGTTGGTTTCAAATAAAAACTTGCTCTTTTGACTTCCTTGAAAAACCAGATATGGCCACACTGGAAACACAGCCCATCTGGCTAAAAGAGACTGGATCTATGAAGCACTCGCTTGCACCTCAGAGGAAGCAAGTATTCTCCAAGGTGCACACCGCCCCCACTCTCTGACTGTCACTCTTCATTCTTCGTTGCAAACTGCCTGTGACCTACAGCCTTCTACGTTTTTAATCTACGCTCCAGTAGGCATCCTCTGTAATTGGCAAAATGCATGGAAGGATAAACCAGGATTCAGACTGGAAGCAGAACTATAGCTCCCCAGAAGTGTTCAAGTCACACTTTTTCCTTTTCGTTAGATCCTGAGTGAGGCAGCAGCAGAGACGTGGCCTCTGGTAGGGGGTCCGATAGGGAAGAATGTATTGAGGCTGGTGTGGTCATCGCTTCACTTCCCTCTAGACTAAGCTTCTCTAGCATAGGACGTAGGCTTTGCAACACCCCCCACACACACACCCCTGGGCATTTTGTAAATTGTAGTGAGAATGCTGCTAATAAAGGCTAAATAAGCAAATGCATGCACAAAGGGCAGCAGATCCTCATGAGAGGATAGAGTGATGGAGAAGAGGCAAAGTAAAAAAACTAAGAACATCAAGAGGGAGTAGGAGAAGCAGGGATAGGATTTTGAAATAAGAAGCTTCTTAACTTGTCTTGTTTGTTAGAAGCAAACATACTGGAAAAAAATGACAGAGAGGGAAATAATGGTCATTATGTGTTCCGGGAATCTAATTTTTGCCTAAATCCCTTATCCAAGATCCAAACCCAATTCTAAGAGACAGACAGAAATTAATCCTTGGGATCTTCTAGAGATCCTACTACATGGGTCCATACCCAATAATACTTCTTCAGGCTACCCAGAATTGCTATCCTGTGATTAAATACGTACTTGTATCATTCAACACCTTTGGGGGGACAAGGCAGACAGAGCATTAGCCATGAAATCTTTACAATTACTTCTACGGCTTCCCTCAGCCTATGGTGTTCCAATGTACATAGCAACAGGGTGGAATCAGGAAGCAGGATCAGGATAAGGTAAAGAATGAGGAAAAGGCAAGAAGCACTTCACAATGCGATAAATGGATAAAATCAGCCATAAGTTAGCAAGAATTTAATGCTTGGTTCCTAAAATAAAATGTCCCAATATGTCCGATGCGGGAAGTTGTCATTGGTTACAAAAAATAA